GAGTTTGGCAGCGGTCAGTGAAGTTCGCTTCACGGTATTTCGCTGTACGATGATGATGATAGAAAGTGTTTTTGTCTGTATCTGGGCTACCGTCATGGATGCGTATGCTGAGACGACAAAGAACGACGATCATTTAGTTTCCAGTATCCCCTGAGTCTTACTGCGCATAACCTACTGTCGAATGAGATCGTATCGAGGAACGGGATTTGAGCTCTCTCACTGAGGGCAACTGGAACGCCAGCCAAACCAAAAGTCGCAGCATCAGGGTCCCCACAAATAAGCAGGTGAAAATTCGCAGATGTGTTTGATTGAGACGGATGGGGGAGCTAAAGTTATGAATGGGATTTTCTTGGTTACAACACACATCAATGGCTGGGGTCTCGAGAGTACGAGATAAACTGGCCTGCTGTCCTATACGCATCAAGGCACGCACGTTAAATTTGGCTAGTTTGAATGGGCATCGAGGACGAAGAAGAGCTCCAACTGATGGAGACTTGGATGCTATCGAAGGCAGGACGTGAGAAAAGGGACGGTTTTCCTTTGGAGGCACAACTGGTGTTACGGTTCTCTGAAGATCTTGATAATAATGGAAATGTTTGAGGGGATGAATCTGAGGAGGAGAAACTGGAAAAAGGAAGATGTGCACGGTATAAAGCTTTTTTCCATGAGCTAGGAGAACTGAAAGAACGACTTATTGATTAAACTGAAGTTCATTGTTTGGATTGTTGGCTGTTGTGTTACTCGGTCGCCCAGTCCAAAGTAGGCTTTGTTCGAGGAAGCACTCTAGTCTTTACGCAAAAAAGCACGAGCTGCAAGGCAGCAGTATTGTTCCAGATTAGCCGGTGACCGGTCGTTGGTTCATTCATCTTCTCTGGAAGACATCGGGTAGATGTAGTTGGACAAGGAGGCAATGACAAACCACACACACCACGTCACAGCGCTGTCGTAAGATACGTGTGGTGTTTTGTGTGGAGAACCCTTACCAACTGGTAAATCCACCACATCCCCGAGCACTGCCGCTGATCATCAGCGACCGTTCCCCTATCCGCGACCTGGGGACGCGCTTGGTAGCATACAGCTCTGCTCTTGCCGAGNAATCATTGCAGGTGACAAGTAAAAATGGAGCGAGAGAGGGTTGAGCTTAAAGGATATGATGCATCAGCCGAGAATGAGTCACACGTCTGAGGTGTTGGTTGACAGTAGAGTCCACCAGCGCCACATAAGGGACAGCTCCATACCTAAAGATGATTATCAGAGTGTCTGATCTATATGAAATCTTTAGACAACAGTCTGGGGAAGGTAACGGGGGGGGGGCAGAAGTTCAATAGTATAAAACGCCGGAGAACATAAATTTAGAAATTACGTACAGCGGCACCCTCAGATGTCGAAGGCATGCGATGTAAAACAAACTTTGTGACCTTAAGAAATGCTTGTTGTACGTTGTAGGTCCATTTTAGGTCAGCAGACAAAAATATCCAAGGCAGTTGAAGTGTTGTGATCTCTCGACGTTTTTGATCAAATTGTTGGGAGCAGGTGACCCGGAATGCCTGACAGGTAGCATTTGGCTATGCAAGACCGGGCTAG